TGTGAGGGCTCCAGGGATGAAGGGTTTGGGGTGCAGGAGGGGGCTCAGGGCTGGGGCGTGGAAGGGTGTGAGGGCTCCAGGGATGAAGGGTTCGGAGTGCAGGAGGCAGCTCAGGGCTGGAGCAGGGGGTTGGGGTGTGGAAGGGTGTGAGGGCTCCAGGGATGAAGGGTTTGGGGTGCAGGGGGGGGGGCAGGGCTGGGACTGAGGGGTTCGGAGTACAGGAGGCAGCTCAGGGCTGGAGCAGGGGGTTGAGGTGTGGGAGGGAGTGTGGGCTCTGGCTGAGGGTGTGGGCTCAGGGATGGGGCCGGGGATGAGGGGTTTGGGGTGCAACAGGGGTCTCAGGGCTGGGGTAGCTGTAGGAGGGAGTTGGAGGGGGTTCCGAGCTGGGGCAGAGGGTTTGGGCTCTGGCCGGGAGGCACAGCGGGGTTAAGGCAGGCTCCCTACCTGCCCTGAGTCTGCACGGCTCCTGGAATCGGGCAGCATGTGCATCCCCTAAGCGCAGGGGACAGGGGCCTTCGCACTCTGCCTCCACCCCAAGCACCGGCTCCGCAGCTCCCATTGGCCAGGAACTGGGGCCAGTGGGAGCTGTGGGGGTGGCGCCCTGCAGAGCCAGGGAGCCTGCTGTGCCGCCAACCCGACTTTTAACAGCCTGGTCGGCGGTGCTGACTGGCGCCACCAGGGTCCCTTTTCGACCGGGCGTTCCAGTGAAAAACTGGGCACCCCTCGATAATCTCAGGGTGGGTTAAATGTGGGCTTTGGAAGAGCCTCCTGACACACATGGTGCCATCCTGTCCATCAGGCTAGACTCGGGGGCTTTGCTGTGGGTTAAGCAGCTGCAGTAGGTCTGCCCCCCTCTGCCTCCCAGCTGAACCCCGTTAACCCTCTTGTCGCTGCAGCTGGAATACCAGGGCGCCAGCACCGTCCAGCTCCGCTTCCTGAAGCTGCACAGCAGCCTCGCCACCCAGAAGGTGTCGTACTCCTGCAGGCCTGACGCCAACGGAGAGCCGCAGCTGGAGAAAGACGTCAAATTCCTAGCGGACTCCAGGGAGCAGAGCTACCTGACCACGCTGCCAGGCTGCATGGTACGTGGAGGGGGTGGGGGGGTGGGAAGCTGTGCCAGTGGGGGGGTGTGTGTTCTTAGTAGAAGCAATTAGGTTGAGAGAAGTGGGGATTCCCGAAGGGCCAAGGCCTTTCCGGTGGAACCCCTTGTAGGTCACACCCAGCAACCGTTGACAGACCTTCCTGCAAGAGTAAATCCGGTCTTCCCAGCTGCAGGGAGAGGGGCTTAGTGCTAGTCTCAAAGGTAGCCTTGGGAAGAGGTGATAGGTGCCACATCAACCTTTGCCATGATGAGACCTGGCCAAAGCAGTCACCCATAGCTAGGTGGAGCCCATGTAGTATGGATGTTTGCCCCCTAGCCCCCGCCCCCCCCAGCAAGCAATTCCAGTTCAGGACACGCATGCTAATGTGTCGAGCAAATTAGGTGCCAGCTTCTCTTTCAGGGTGTCTTTTTGTATGGGCACGAGACTGTTCTCAATAGACTCTGATGGAGATGTTTAACCTGGGGGAGATGGTTTGAGCATTGGCCTGCTAAACCCAGGGTTATGAGTTCAATCCTTGAGGGGGCCAGTTAGGGATCTGAGGCAAAAATCTGTCTGGGGATTGGGCCTGCTTTGAGCAGGGGGTTGGACTAGGTGACCGCCTAAGGTCTTGTTGAACATTAATCTTCTGATTCTCTGAGTGGGGACAAGGCCTATGACCTCTTACACTGTCACCACCGACCCATGCTCATAGTGCAGCTCCATTGTGTGTTACAGCTGGACAACGAGTCTTCGATCACAGACACCATCTTCCAGTTTTCCACCGAGGAGCTGGCGCTCTTGCCCCTGCGAGACCTGGCTGTGTTTCACAATGGAGACGTCTCACACCAGTTTGGCTTCACGGTTGGGCCAGTTTGCTTCAGCTGAACCCAGAAACAAAAATCCACTTTCCTTTTGGGGAATATATGACTGCAAAGGAGAAAGGAACTAAAAAAACCCCTTCCCATTGCTGCACTTCTGGCTGGCTTTTGAAAGCTACCCTTCCTATTTATAAGGTAATGTTCATAGCTGCATTATGCCATGGACTACACGGCCTTCTGAAGGAGGAGACTATTGTTTACAAAAGTAATTTCTCTATAAATATATATATAAAAGGTGCTAATTTAATAATTGATGGGAAAATTGTCATTTAACTCCATCCTTTAGGGGCTGCTTAAAAGGAGATCCAAGCTTTCAGCTGGGACCAAGTTTCCTTCCCCTTGTTCAATTGCACAAGTCCCTGGGTCCCTTTCTTTGCTGCAGCACCAATGGATTAGCACAGGCAAATAGCCAGGCCATTGGTGCCCATGGAGATCAGGCCAATCACACAACAGCTGGAGCTGGCTGGGAATTTTTCCACAAGTGTGTTTTCATCGAAAAATGACGATTTCTCAAAACCGGAACTTTTTGTAGGAAAGGGTCAGTTGAGATGAGATTTGACTCAAAAATGTCTCTGGAAAATTCTGGGTTTTTTGTTTCAAAACTATGTTGCGTTTCTAAATTTAAGCTGTGTAACAATGGTTGAAATCAAAACATTTCAATGGTAGCACAATGAAACGTTGCTGGGTGACCGAAGCTGAATATTTGTTCTTTTTGGATTTTCAAGGTGTGAAAATTGTCACGATTTTAACTTTTTCCCAATTCAGGGTAGGGAGGAATATAGTGACATAGGGTGACCAGACAGCAAGTGTGAAAAATCGGCACAGGGGGTGGGGGGGTAATAAGAGCCTATATAAGAAAAAGACCCAAAAATCAGGACATCTGGTCACCCTATATTGACAGCTCAAAAATGTCTGCAGAATGGGAGAAGGGATTCCCGCCCAGCTCTAACTGCAGACTATCTCCAGGAGGTTCTACATACTACCACCCTGCTGGCCTTACGGGACGAGTAGCACCTTGCCTTAAAGAAAATACACGAGATTATTCATGCAAACTCTTCACTTGGTCAGCCAGCAACGTGTTTGTTAGCACTGCTGCCCCAGGCGTGATTGTGAAAGATGGCGTGAGAAATACTGCCATCAACTCCTGAACTTTATCAAGCTCGGTAGAAGGGAGTATCATATTTAATGGCAGTTAAATTAAGATGCCCTCCTTAAATCATTACAATAAGCACCAAATGCTGCCAATTTTTCAGGGGTAGTTAGTGGAGAAAATTCAATATGTAGAGAAAAGGGATAAAATTTGTAGCAGGAGGCTCCTATCCCCTACTAACAAGGAGCTGCTCCTTTCCGTGTGATGAAGGTTTATTTAAGGCCACGTTTCACTAAGGGAGACATACTGAAGGGCAAGAAGTGTCTAGAATCTGCGGCACAATGAACTGGTACATCAGGAGTTGCTGCTGAGAATCAAACAGCCTATTTAAAACAGTTCTGTTGTACATGGGCATCTTTTCTAGCAGGTGCTGCCAACCTTGAGGCAGAGCCCTATTTCTATTAGCTGGCTTGGGACAGGGTCAGGGGCCTAGAGGATCAGCCGCAGTTTTACAATTCAGCCACATTCCTGGAGTCCAAGTCCACCCCCCACGCAGGAGGCACCTAGTGTTTGGAAGAGATTTGATTCCCTTTGTAGCTCTTCCTATAAACCCAAACACCTGGCTTGCTTACAAATCGGCTTGTTTTGCTCTTAAAAAGCGAAGTGCGTGAAATCTCACATTTAAAAACAATGCTGTGGGTATGGGCAAGCTAGCAGGAATTAACTAAGCCCAGGCATGCTTCATCCCAATGTGTGTTTGTGGGCTGATGAGTGGGGGAGCGAGGGCAGCTGCATGCACTGCTTAGCTCCAGGCCACTAGTGTTTTGCAACCTATTTGTAAGTGCAGCTTCCCCCTAGTAAGGATTGCTGTTCAGAGCCCTCACCCTCATTGTCCAGGGGGAGGTACAAGGGGAAGCTGAAGCTGTTCCCAGCAGTGTGATTAAGCCCTGTACTCGGTTAAATTCTGCTTCAACGTCCTTCGGCTGAGGTCTTTTACTGTTTAAATGTGATGACATCCATTGCTGGCAGTGGATGTACCAAACTCACCACTGACCAGGCGCTCTGGCCGCAGGGTTCACTGCTCTCCTCTTACTCTTATTTGTATAATTTGCATTTTTAGCCTGACCTCTATATGATATGCTGGTCATTTTGTATAAAGATGGGATGCATTTTATGAAACTAGCACCAGTTCTGTGTATGCAATACAAAGATTTGACTTAACCCTGCTGGTCAGCTTCGTGTTCTGCACTGAGAACTTTAAAACCTGGTCTGTTACTTTAAGGCCCTCATTTTCCCACTCAATTCTATGCCAGTGGTCTGGTTTCACAGAGCAGTACGAGCCCTTCCTTTGCAATAGGGGCAGAAACCTGTCTGATTGAAACATTGGCTTAAACTCACTGTAGAGCAGAGTGCTTGACGGCTGAGGCTGGGGAGTCACTGCTTTCCCACTTCACTCAACCAGGGCACAGTGAAAACAAACTCAGCTGGTTACCAGCTTTCTGCACAGGCCTCGTGCTAGGTTTAAAACTCAAGCAAGTTCCCATGAAGAAGACGGGCCAGTAGAAAAGTCCAAGTAAGACAGTACCCCTGGCCACCTGCTTTTCCTTTAGGGTTTGTGCAAAAGACACCACATTCTATTAAAAGGGCCCATATGAGGAATGTTTAATTTACTCCCACCAGCTGGCAGCCAAGGCCAGTTCCTTTGCAACATCACTTCTCCACTGTGCTCCTGAAATTACAGGGCTCAAGTCTGACTCCCCTTAAGAACTGAAAGTAAAGTGCAGATTTCAGAGGCCCAGCACAAGAGAAGATTACGTCTCTCGGCTGCCCCCCCTTACCGAGCAAGCAGTGCCCCGCCCTAAGAGGCTGTAGAAAAGTTTTCAAATAGCCTTTAAACTACAGTACAAAAATGGAATTCTCAGGCATCCCTTCCCAGAAGGGACAGGAGGAGAAAATTTATGGTGCCTCTTTATACAAGTTTTTACCACTACATAGGTCAGAGAACTTCAATGGCAGTGCAGTAATTGCAGTGAATTGTTTCCTCCTTCAGGAGAAAGTTTGATGCACATACGGATGGATGCAATCTCTTTCTCTCTCCCCCCACCCTCCCGTTAGTCAGTACCAGCTGGTCACTAGAAAGGCACCATAGGTCAGTTGTAACAAATTGCCAAGCCTAATTTACCCCAGTTATCAGGTGTAGATTAGGTCTCCCAGCTGGCCAAGTACCCCTTCCTTGCTTTCATACAGCCATCTGAGTTGTGCCACAGTTTTGGGTTCAACCACAGCACCTCCTAAAGACTTGTAAAATTTCAATTAGGCTTTTAAAAGCCAAGCAGGCAATTTAATTCCTACTGTTTAGACATGCAGTAGTGAGCTTCTGACACTTGTTGCAGAGGCCAGTGGGATTTCTAGGTGAAGATTTCCTACCTTTCCCTTTCAAAGTACCAGAGAGACTGCAGAGCCTAGCCCATCACTTAGAAGTGACACAGCTAGAGAAAGTTAAAGCTGGGCTTGGCTTACCTTGTTTGGTACAAAATCCCCTGCTCTTTATTTGCAGTAAGATCAAGGAAAGGGCTACAGCTGATACTCCCCTCTGAAACCCCTTCACTTGCTCACTCTTGGTTTGTTAATGTGCAACATCTTTCTATTTCAAACACACACGTTGGCCCTTAGCATCACCGAGACGGTTGGCACAAGTGTTGTTAAAAAAAAAAAAATGGAGATGCTACTGTCATGACTCACTTGCATTTTGGCTGGCAGATAAATGCCACTTTTCCCTTCCTCCAAATTACAAACATGAAAGTTCCTGAGGTTTTTGGCAACTGGGTTTCCATCCTGTGAACTGGGACTCGTGCTCTGCAGTAAACGGTAGGAGTGCAACACCTCCGCTTTTTCCATGCTCTTGGAGCAGCTTCCACGGGGGGGGTCAGACAGCTGCCTTCTAGCTGGCCACTAGCCTCCTGGAGAGCAGGAGAAGCAGCCTCCACTCATGCTTCGTCTGGAGCACTTGTCACCATCCTGGTGTGGGTCTCTGTGGCTGCCTCGTGCAACTGACTTGCAGACAAGGGCTGGTCTGTGTTTTCTAGAAATGTAGAACAGTTAAAGGGTGAGGGTTTTCAAAGGCCAGACGGGAGCTGTTCAGCGTGGCTCATTCCAGTACCAGCCCTGGTATGAACCTATTTCTGAACACCTACAGCTCCTTTCAAGCCAAACAATCGATCGATTTGAAGGGCAGAGGGCACTATCCTCGTCTGCTCTCCTGCGTAATCTTACCCACTAATTCTTTAATCAAGGCTAAGAGCTAGCGGTTGAACCAGAACATGGCGTCATGTCCCAAAACTGATAAAACCAGAATGCATCAAAGGATCCCATTGCACCTCCATGCACCAGGTCACACCACCAGTGGTGCAAATTTGTCCCAGCCAGCCCCTCCCCCATTATCAGGATCGAGGGGTGGCTGGGCCAAACATGACCAGCGCTGGGACCCTGTGCACAGGGTGGCAATGCCCACAGCAGGGACCTGAGCTGAGCCCAACCCAGCCAGCCCTTGGGCCCAGAGTTGCTGCAGGGTGAGTGGGGTGGATGCTACACTGCACCTGCACCACCACCCCCGCTCAGGATCTGACACCCTCCCTCCCCTCAATCTAGTCACTGGGTTGCCGTAGGCCATCAACAAAGGGCTGCGCCCAAAAGGTTGAAAACCACAGCACAAGAGTCCCTCGCTCAGAAAGAGATTCACTCTTGACTGAAAAAAAAAAAAAAAAAAAAATCCACCACCCCCCTTGTCCTAAAGGCGACCTACCCTCACCGGTAAAGTTTACATTATTTCCCCATGAATTTGGCTAGTTCCACTTCCAGGCATTCGATCTTGGACTTCCCAAGTCTGTTATAATACCACTAATTAACAAAACCCTCTCCCCTGGAATGAGGAAGAGCCCAAATCAAAATCCAGCAAACGGTCCCTGGCTGTAGTGCCTGGGGAATCAGTCGGCTCCAAAGTGCTTTTGCTCTTAATTCCATCTCCTCTTTCATCTCATCCAGTGCTCAGCTCCTACTACGGTTTGGTTCCTCTTACCTCCACCTAGGAACACGGGTTTAGTGGCCAGCAGCACATCCACATTGCGATGCTGGGACAGTGCATCTAAAAGGACTTGCCCCTCCTTCTGGAAGAGGAAGACAAGGGGGATGACTATGTCACTGGTGCTTCCATCTCCCACCATCTGGAACAGAACCATCTCCTCGCTGCAGCTGCCTTCAGCATTGTCTACAGAGAGGGAATACGAGAGCCCGTTTCAGGGTCAGAGCTGGGAGCATTCTCTTACTTGTACATACTGTCACACTCCATGCACTCTACTGATGGGGCAGGTTTGGTCTGACCCTCAATTTCATGCCGGTAGGACGATTGGAGGTCACTTGTACTGTACATGTTACTGACGAGGGGGGGGAAGAGGAGCAGGGTTCAGATGCCGAAGGTAACTGCAATTCCAGCCCCCATAAGCCACAAGCAGTAGGCACAAGCCTGCAGTACTTTTCTTTACCCTGAAGGACAGGTACACATGGTACCTCGGTGAGCTTTCCCCCTCTATCTAGCAGGCAAGGGTTTTGCAACAAACAGATACTAAAGGTGCCCAATGCTCTTCTGGTGCAAGCCCCAGCTCCCAGCCCCAAGGACAAGCTTTTGCCCCCAGTCATCTCCATAACCGCATCAGAATACCCACCATCTCCCAGCCCCCACCCACTCCTGTACCGCTTCTGTCAGCAGGACGTGACTGGTGCTGTATGCATGTGACAAGCCCCCAACACAGGCTAATAACAGTGCTTGAGACTCACCGATGAAAATCACCCCCGAGGCTCCTGCTTCCTGCAAGTTCCTGGCTTTGGTGGCAAACATGCATTCGCCTCTCTGGGCCAGCGCCATTTTCCCTTGCACCTCCTTCCGGTTGCTGATTGCTGCACAGGCCTGGTAAGGTTCACTCAGCACTAAGCTCCCTTTCACCTGCAGTGACACACGCACAGGGAAGCTCTTCCAGCAAGGCCAGTTTATACCGCACCTAGGGCAGTGAGGGCTGGTCTGTAACTGGGGCTCTCAGGCAATGCAAATCATCTCTAACGAGGGGCTATTTCAGTACCAGTAAGTACTGGGCCTGTTCAAATTTCCTAGAGATACTGAGGCTCAGGAGTGGTGTGAGATGCACCAGTCAGCTTACTGTGTAGGAGCCCTACTTCGTCCCTTTCAGGTAAGACAGAGGATGCATTTACCACTGTAGAGGCAGCAAACAGTTGAAGGAAGGGGTGTACACACCTTGCACTTGCATGGCATAGCCAAGACCCCTAGGCTAGCTTCTATCTCTGTGCATACCCCCCCCTCCAATACCATCCTGCCAGTTCCAAAACTGTTTGCTTCATGCAGTGGGGCCTGGCTTCTCCTTAGCACAGGTTCACAGAGACGAGCCCATGTTGCAGGCTATTAAAATGAACCCAAAGAGCAATTCCAGCCCCCCGGGACGATTCCCAACCTCCAATCACGGCCTGCAGGTTTCACTCCTTGGAGCAGGGATGTTGCTTCGTTTAAAAGTAGATCAAACTTCTGGGCAGAATTTTTATTCTCCTGATTTTTTTTTTAAAAGTGGTCATCCAATCCGGGAGCAGAAACAAGGCCGTGTGACTTGGTGACCAATCACATAGCACCAATAGTGGACAAGCAAAGCAAACCATTTGGAACATTATTCAGTGAATCCCCAGAAAGCCAGGCTCAGCTGCCAAGCCAAGGGGGCTTCCATCACTCGGCTCCATGGCCCAGCAAGGAGAAGCAGGACCGGTTAAGGCACTCCTGCTGGCCCGGCTATTAGCAGTGAACAAGTCACCCACCCCGTGCTCCTGTTTGGTCAGGTCCATTCCAAACTGGGCTGGTCCAGCGGTGAGTACCGTTCTCCCAAAAAAGGGGGGCGAGAGAACTTGGACAGCCAGCGGGGAGATGCCTTGCTGCTCTGCTGCAGGCGGGTCGACCAGCTCGGTGATGAATTTCAGGCTGAAGAGCCCCAGGGGAGAAGCGTCTTGCTGCGGAGGGAGAGAGACAACACTGTACGGGCTCTGGCAGGCTAGAGTCACAGAATAACCAAGCTAGCAGCGCCGGTCGGAGCTCCGTCCACCCTACAAATGACGGCGTAGAGCCAGGGGAGGTGCTCGGGCAGGACGGTATCGCAGCACAAACAGGGCACTGTGCCACAGGCTCATTCTGACCCCCCTCCGTCTCAGCTCCCCCAGAATGGAGCGAATCCGCCCCACATATCCCCCAGAGCTGGCAAGAGGTTTCAGCGGCGTATCTGTTAGAGCTCCTTGGAGGAAATAAACAACCCTACGTGGCAGTGATGGACAAAGCACTGGGAAGCTTGACTCATGCGACCACCAAGAGAGCTGCAAAAACGTGGCCGCTTGGTGGAGTTTGGGCTTTAGACACTGCAAGGAAACGTGAGGAGGTTTCTTTAAAGTAGTTGCTTACAAGACAGACTCAGCTGTCCCTATGAGCAAGCAATTACCCAGGCGACTGGAGCTGGGAGGAACCATGCCAGGAATTCTCACATTGGCCTTCCAGCGTGACCAGCGGCAGGCAGAGCACGACTGCCACGCATGGAGCACTCGGCACTCACCTTGTGTCGGAGGCTGGTCAGCTGCACGCTCCTGTCACCCAGAGGGAGCAGGGTCAGTCCCATGCTCTTCAAGATCTCCAAGGGTTCCATCCTGGTATCATGGAAAGGGAACTCAATCCCCCTGAGGGAGACCAGGACCAGCCATCAGAGTCAAGGTGACAGCAACACAACCCGTCCCGGAACAATGCAAGCCCAGGCTCCAGCAGACAAAGATCTAACAACATCCAACAGCTGGAAGCTGAAGCTAGACAAATTCAAGCTGGAAATAGGGTGCCAATTTTTAAGGGTGAACGGGATTAGCCAACGGACCCCACTACCACGAGGTATGGTGGATTCTCCATCACTGGCAGTTTTTAAAACCAAGATCAGTTTTTTCTACAAGGCCTGCTCTAGTAGAAACGCAGCTATTGGACAGGAAGCAGGAATGCAGAACGGGAAGTCCTACGGTTGGCATTATGCAGGTCAAACTAAATGATCACAGTGGTCCTTCTGGCCCTGGAATTTATGAATCGCCGAGAGCCCGTGGGAGTTACGCAGGGGCTGCCACTCACCTGAAGAGCGCCAGGCGCTCTGCTCCTGGTTGCAGCAGCTGCTTGTGGGCATCCCGGATGGTGCGGGTGAAGGCTGGGTTATTGGGGAAGAGAGTCTGTGCGCTGGGGCAAGAACGGGTAAAAATCTCCTCCTCTCCATGGCCCCTGCGAAACATCTACAGTGAAGGAGACAGGGATCAATTTCTTCTCTCCTCTCGTGCAGCCCCCTGGGTTTGGGTGAACAACGGCCCAGCACTGACTTTGTCCTCGAACACTCAGCAAGGGACTGGCAGAGCCGCCCAGCCACTCCAGTGACCACATCAAGGCCCGTGACTTGTCCCTTCTAGTTCTGAAAATCCATTAAAAACCCAACGTCAGATGAGCTCAGGCAAGTTAGATGCAGGTGGTCATGGTCAGTGAGTGTCATGTCCCCCCGCATCCCACAGTGCCCCATTCACAGAGGATGAGAGTCTCTTGGCAGTTTAACTCAAGCTGTTCAGATCCTCCTGGCTGTTAGCTGTGGAGGGGCAGCGTGGCCTAGCGTTAAGACACCAGACAGGGACTAAGGAAACCTGGGTTCTATTCCCAGCCCTGCCGCTTGTTTGCTGGGTAATCTTGGGCAAGTCACTTCCCATTCCCATGCCTCAGCTTCCTCCTGTTAGAGAAGGAGAATGATACTGACCTGCGTTGTCCAGCACTTCGAGATCTGCTGAGGAAGAGCGTTAGATATGAAGAGCTATTAGCCCTCTGTGGACTGTCACACACGCATTGGCCGGGGAGGGAAGCTCTGGCTGCACATACACCAATCCCCCCACCCCGACGTTTCATAGCAATGCCGACCATGTTTTAAAAATAAAACTAGATACAGCAGTAAGCTGCCTAAGGGATTCAGGAGCCCAACTCCCACTGGAAATTCCTTCTCTCTCAGGCTGGGACCCAACACAGCTGGGTTTAAACCTTGAAAAATTACCAGCCAAGTTGACCTCCTCCTCTGAAAACAGTCATGTGCCCTGAAGTCATAAGCTGCTGTGAAGCTAAACATGCCCCGGGCACCCTTAAGAAAGCCTACAGCTGACGTACAGTCATGTTCCTGGGGCAGGGGGGCCGGGCGGTGGAGAGTGACAGGGGCAGCAGGTGGGCCTCGGTGGTGAAGATGAAATCGTCAATGTCTAGAGGCAGATCTCGCTTCTCTGTGAAAAGCAAGTAGAGGTACTTAAACATCTCGGCCAGGAAAAAGGAGTCCATCCTGCATGACAAAGAGAGATGAGTCTGAGAGGCTGGGCCTGCTGAGAACGAGGCAGCAAGAATTGAAAGAGCCTGTAAAGATTTATTCACATCCCTAAAAATCTCTGGCAGATCACATCAATCCTCTTTGCTTTGCCCGGTCTTGAGATGGCCGGGAGAAGCAACCTCAGAAGTCTCCCTCTACCTTCAAGACCCACATTGCTGCTGAGGAAATGCTACCTCGTCACTTCATACAGCAACCCCCTCCCCCCCAGGAGATGGCATTCCTACGTCCACTGCAGACAGAGAACACACAAGGGGACTAGATTTCCTCTCGATCCAACATGGCTCAGAATTGTCTTCGCTCCAGGAGAGATTCCGACCCGTTTGCTACCCTGGTCCCTCCCTTCTGTTGGCTTCCCTGCGTCAGTCATTAGATTTAGACTGCGCACTCTAAGATAAAGGGCCGCATCTTTATGTCAGCGAAGCACTGCGTAAGCTCACGGCGCTAGAAATGTCATTTTCATTAAGCTAGGGTGTCCCGTGGAATTGCGTGAAGCGGAGGGTGGAGGTTTTGATCTTCAGATAAGTCTGAGACAGACTCCAGAAGATTAACCTGGTTCAGGCAAATTCAGTTCAGCCCAGCTGCAGGGCAAGGCAGCTCTGTTCCAGCATTGTACTCGCTGGACATGGCTTTAAACACTTCCTTCGCAGGGCAGCGACATGGTCACTGGCGAGAGCACGGTGGGATTCACACACACTGCACCATCCCCACTCGCACCGCGCAAGTCGGTATTAATAACGAAGTGTTCCCTGACTAGCCCCCGATTTCCCACCACATCACAGATCAATCAGAACAGCTGTGAGACCAATAGGTTGTTCCTGTGGTGGGTGGCGTTATTGCTGGTGATGGGGTTTATTGGTAGCATTCTAAGGGCTTGTCTACACTACCACTGACTTGGGTATAAGGTACGTCGCTCAGGGGCGTGAGTACTGCACGCTCCGGAGCGACAGCGCTCAGTGTAGACAGCGCTATGCCGACAGAAGAGCTCTCTCCCATCTGCTTAGAGCGTCTTCACCAGGCGCATTCCAGCCGCACAGCTGTAGGGTGCAGCACTTCTAGTGTAGACTAGCCCGAAGGTTATGTCTACACAGCAGCTGGCAGGTGTAATCCCCAGAGCGGGTAGACATACATGTGTAAGCCATGCACTGAAAAACAGCAGTGTCACTGCAGCAGCATGGGTGGCCGCTCAGGTTAGCCACCGGCATATGAGCCCCGGGGGTCAGGCAGGATTTGTACCCTGATCTGGCTGCAATGTCTTTCCGCTGTCAAGGAAAACCAACACCCATCCCCCTCTACTTCGGGGGGGAAATGAAACCCAAGAGAATTAGATTCCAGTCTGGCATCGGAACCCGTGTAGACAGCCCCTGTGTCATCGGTGCGCAGATGCAGGGACTCACCCACACAGCGCCAATTAGCTGACCCCAAAGATATGGCCCATTGAGACATTCTCCACTGCACGGGGCCCAGGACGTCCCATACCAGACACCGGCTCCATGCCCATAATTCCCCACTGGCCCATTCCACTCCTGGTTAGCCCTACCCCCTGCCCGTACAATACTTCCCTCTGCCCAGAGAGGAAGGGGGTTTACCTGTCCTCGTGTCGGCCCGTCCGTACATCCTGCACCGCCGCAAAGCCGCAGGCCACCCGGGCATACTCGTTCAGGCTCTCCACAATGGACTTGCCCACCTGGAGGTAGTAGGGGTCTCGGGTAGCCTTGGAGAGAAAACAATTGCAATTCAGCAGGCCACCAACTCACTCTCTTCCCAGCATAGTGAAGTCCGAGGGAAACGGTGGCTCATTCACAGATGGACGTGACAAGTCACTAGCCGCAGGGTCAATCCTGCGTTGCCATCCCTCAGGGGAAGGGAACGAAGAGCTCCAAATCTCCATTCCCCGTGATGAACACTCAGCCCGCTAAGTGATCTGACCAACTCTCACACCCCAGCCGCTTTAGGACAACGGCTTCGAAGGTCAGTTTGGAATAAGAGCAAGTCACTGATCAGCCAGGAGCTGCCGCCGCCCGCTCTTCTCCCCACCAGCTACATCTCTCTAGGAGCGATGGCACCCTCCGTCCTGACACCCCTCTGCTGCTTCTTTGGAGGAGTTAAACACATCCACTTTCAGCTCATTGGTGTTTTCAGCCAAGCCGCGGGACGGGACTAACCTTGTACAGGAAGTAGGTACTCTCGGCAAACTCCGGCCGCAGAGGATGCTGGGCCCAGTACACGGCAAAGTCGGACGTGAACGCCTTTAATGAAGGGAGAGAGCTCACTAAGATACAAGCTGCCATTTTCACAACAGACACTGAGGGCTCGTCGACAGGGAGACTTAGTGCGTGGCAAGCCAGGATGTAAGTCTACAGCACACTAGCTTACCTGGCACTAAATGGCAACGTGGACCTTACTCCCACGCCCTAAGAGTTCCCTAATACTCCCGCTTGAAACAGCACGAGACCCTTTAGCGTGCTGGAGCAGGGTCTATACAGACAAGGCACGTTCAAACGTTGCCAACTGGGGGCCCTGATGCAAAGCCACTGGAGTCAGCGAGAGTTTTCTATTGACGTCCCCGGGCTTCGGATCCGGCCCTGGCGAGCTAGTGAGGTGCAGAGATGGGAGAAGAGCGTGAAAGGCCGTAGGGGATTTTGCTTTGGCAGCTAAGGGCATTTCAACCTGGAGGGCTGGGAGGAGAGTGCTAGGGTCCAACACAGAAGGAGCAGCGGTTGCAACATCGTTATGAAGACCATATAACGGATGAAAGGTGCAAACCCTTGAGTCCCTGTCCCCATATCGAAAAGCCCACCGATGTCAATGGGAGTCTATCTATTGACTTCAGTGGGCACTGGATCCAGCCCCTAATCCTGGTCATGGAAGCTAGAAAGAGAATGCAGGGGAAGGTTCTTAAGAGTCTGCAGCGTGGGGCATCAATCCCTGGAATACGTCTGCCCCCAGCGGGGCACCGCCCGACGGTTCATACTCCCACCCCGGCACTCTCTGCCGCGGTGACGGGTCACTCAGCAGCAGGAAGGACGCTGGGCCTGGTATGCAGGGTGAGAACAAGGGAGGCTGAAGCGAGGGAGGGATTTTTCCCCCGTGCCCAGAGACCGACGGGATCACAGCGCAGTGACAAGGGGAAGCAGCTCGTTCACTCACCTCCGGAAGGAATTTGTGTTGCTTGGTGACCTGGTACAGCATCTCGTGCGTCTCGATGGCAGGCTTCAAATCCCCCCTCAGCACCTGGGGACAGACAAAACAACCCCTTGTTTCCCTGGGGCACAGCAGGGGGATAAAAACGGCCTCGGGGCAATCGCGAGGCACCAGAAACGCTCCCGGCTCATAACAGTGACAGGAGGAGAAGCGAGATCCTGGCTAGGGGGTGATTTGTATTCAGCACCGGCACAGTGAATTTAGTGCTAGTCAAAGATGCCGGCTGGCTGGCACGGTGTGCACAGGGCAGACACAGCAAGGCAAGGGCTGTGCAAGCTGCCCTCCCATTAGCCCACCGATATGACTCACCCCTTCGGGGACGGACCAGCGCTAGGGGGTGAGAGAGGATTCCAATCTAATCCCATTCACTCTTTGGCCTCACTGCTGCCACCCAGAGGCCAACAAAGGGAAGAAGATAATTAGTGCCAGCTACGTGGATGCAGAGAGAGAGTCTCAGAAGCTGGACTGAGCTCCCACCAACTCATTTCACATAAAGGTTATAACTCTCCCACGTCAGCCATAATACACCTGCTGCTGCCTCCCAGCCAAAACCATGGGAAAGGAAGGAGGGCGGGAGGGTATTTTAGCTTCAACCACCAGCAACCTGCCCATAGCTTATGTCCTCCCGGACACATTTCCCTGATTGACCTTGGGGTGTACCCTTGAGCCACCGCCGAGCCAGGCTGACTGGATCAGCCAGGGTCAGAGCGTTTGACAGATGGACATTTCACCGAGCGAGATGGCTTGCAGCGTAGGTCTCCAAGAGCCCCAAACCTGGCTCCAGGACCAGCTTTTGCAGGAACACAAGGGTGAGGAGGGAAGGAAAAGTGGTTAGGGCACAAGCCTGCCATCTGAGAGACCTGGATTCAATTCCCAGCTATGTGCCACTGACTTCTTGGGTACCCCTGGGCAAATCACCTGTCCTCGCTGTGCCTCAGTTCCCCATCTGTACAATGGGGATCCTAGCACTGCTCTGCCCTCTGAGACGTGGGAGGCTAAATACATTAAAGACTGTGAGGCACTCACATGCTATGGTAACAAGGCCAGATGTGTACCTGAGCACAGAACGCATCAGCTAAAGGCCGTACAAGTGCCGAAGAGCAGAACCGTCGGTTAATTTCAGGCAGTCCGATTGGGTGAAGGTGCCGACCCTGCTTAAGGACCTGGCCTAGCGCTCTCTTTTTATATTAACCCACCTGCCACAGTCCCGCCCCTTCGCTGTGCCAGGCCCATTAAAACCAACAGCTAGTGTTTACTTGGCAGAGCCCCGCGGCACTGCCGAGTCCATTCCGCCCGGGGCTGCGGCTATACCTGGAGGCCGGGGAAGAAGGCCAAGAGGGAGTCCATCCAGCTCCGGATGCTGACTGTGGGGTTGTGCATATGGACGTTGAGCAGGAGGGGAGGCTGGCTGATGTATTTCATTATGGCCACGTAATGCTAGAGAGAGACGGACACAAACTCGGTTATCCAACCAGCAAGGCAGAGCGCTCTGTAACCCAGTAAGACAGCAGGGAGCAGCAGAGTAGGGAGGGCTTAGAAAGATCTTCCAATTCAATAGGAAGGCTCCTCCGTGGAGGACTTGGGAATCTGGGACTATCTCTGATACACATGCCTAAATATGTCAGTCACGGGACACCGTGGGCATGTCGTCCATGCTCCCACAACTCAAACGGCCGAGCAGGGCTGGCTCCCGTTCCGGCTGAAGAAACATTCACCTGGTGGCCAACAGCCAAGCATGGATCATTTCTGCCACCAAGTCCTTCTGAGCATTTGCTGGCCTCACCTACACTAACTGCGGAGAGGCTCCGAATGCCGCACAAGCCTCCCCATCGCCCCTCTCATAAGGGACGCCAAGCTCTGCATCCTGGCAATGAAACGGGGGCTCCAAAAATGGCCCTTGCTGGAAAGAAAGCGGTGGCATGTTTGTGGCAGCAGAGCAATGCACCTCCCCCCAGCACTGGCTGCAAGTTCCTACCCAAGCGAGGAGGTGCCAGGGTGGCCTGCCAGCTCCTGACCACCTGCTGCATCCCTGGCACGCTGCCACTGGCTGCTAAGCAGAAGCTATCAGCAGCCACTCCTGTGCAAGGAAACAGATGTAGACAGGCTGCGCAGCAGTGGGGCTTTCATTGGTGGGTCAAGCTGGCCTCGCACCTTCAAAATGGATTCGCAAATGGAAGAGGGAGCAATGGGTGATCAACCCCGTTCCTCCAGAGAGCAACAGAAAGGAGAGCGCTCCCCTGTGTACTCACAGCGTTGAACCTGTCCAGGTAGGTGTCATCCCCCAGGAGGATATACGCCTTCATCAGGTACTCGTAGTACGAGTCGATCCCGGCTCCGACCCCGCTATCTAGGGGAAAACGACAGGCAGGGAAGCATGGGAGCTTTACCCAGAACACCCCTGCACAGGCACCCAGAAAAGAAGAATGTTGCAGGCTCCCTTGCCCTGTGTGTCTTGGTACCACCCCTCGGGGGTCTACACCGCACTGTCACCCTCGCGTCTCCTCGCCAGCACTGGCCAAACCATCAGCAAGACAAATCTCTGGCTACGTCCCGGCAATGAGGAGAGCATTCTTCCCCTTCCCAGGGCAGGGCAGGGCGAACAGCACCCACCTTCGGCACACTGCCAAACACAGCTCTGCCCAGAGCCAGCAGGGGGCACTGGCTCTGCCATGGGGGTTGTTCTGGTTCCCCACCACCCAAAAAAAGGGGTGGAACACCATTCCTTAGCACTCCGGCACAACTCAAGCCCTGCCACTGCACCAAAGCACACAGGAGACGGCGTTACCAGCCAGCACATCTCTGCCCCCAGGCAGCCACGTGACACCGGTATCCCTTCAGACCCCCAGCTCCGAGCCCGGGATTCACTTACCCCTCCGCACCCAGTCCCCATTGTGAATGTTGATGACCGTCCCCACCAGGTCGTTCCCTTTCTGGCGCTTCTCCCAGAGAACATCCAACGCTCTCCGAGCGGTGTCCTGAGAACGGAGAGAGGAATGAACGTACACAACACACAGTCTCCATATCACCCTCCCCTCTACCCAGGAACAGACAGGAGTTGTTCCTACGCCATTCCTTACGCTTATTAACTAGACCCACCCTACAGAGCGAGGGGACAGCATCGGGGAGCAGGTCCTACAATAGGGCTCAGGACCTTTGGGCTCTGCCACTAACTGTAGGGTTTGAGACCTCGGGCAAGTCGCTGTGCCTCAGTTTCCCCACCTGTAAAATGGGGGTGATAACACTTCCCAAGCCCATGGGGATAAATCCAGCCCTGTATTCCACGCATTCAGGTTCCACTCAAAAGCAGAGACATAAAATAGAATCATCTCCCCCTTCATGCCCAGACTCTCTCCCCCCCCGGTATGTTCCTACTGCTTAGCCAAAGCAACGTCCAGTTTGCTGAATCCTGCATGGTGCACTGGGGCTGCCTGCCTGGGCGGATGCCGTATATCCCCCAGCTGCCCGCAGGACCAACCAGCGCCAGGCCAGGGACTCCATTTCCAGCCATCCCTCAGATTCCAGTGGGGAGCGGGGCAGGGGGAGGGTGAGCAGTTGTCCTGATATTATTGGGACCATCCCAATATTGGGGGCTTTGTCTTATATAGGCTGCCTATTACCCCCCGCTCCCCATTGTCCTCCCCCAGGTCCCAATTTTTCACACTTGCTATCTGGTCACTGAGGTAGGGGTGTTGTGGGATTGCTCACTTGCCCCCCCGCCACCCCCATTTAGCTTGTAGAGGAGGGCAGGCTGGGATCCTGGTGACATGCGGATGGACGGGCAGCATGAGGTCTCCGTTAGGCTGAACGCAGATGGCACGGGGCCTGTGGGTTCCCAGTGGCCGTGTGAAATAGGGCCTGGCGGAGAGCGAGGGGACTCAAGCATGGGGATGGATAAGCAGCAGTGGGAGGGTTTGACAGAGCGTGTCTGGCTCCTGGCGTTGAGGGGCTTTGCCCAAATCTCTGTGCAAGTTCAAGTGAACCAGTGCAGACCACGGAGAGGCATTGTGAAATGAAGGGCGCCCCACATTCCGGGCTAGCTCACCCCAGGGACTCCACCAGGTCTGCACAGAGGATCTCCTGGGGCAGGAACCTGTCACGGCTGTTTGCTTTTCCCTCGAGCTTCCCAACCACTTACTTCGAAAACAGTCTCTTGCGTCAGGCGACTGAGGGCAGCAAACTCCAAAATCATGGTGCCAGCGCAGGCCGTGCAGGTGTCCAGCTCGGTGCCTGTCCGGGAGTTCGGACTCAGGACCCCATACCTCAGGTTCACCTGGATAAAGAGATGCTCCCTCAGTTTCACTGGGTGTTTTCCCTCATACTTGTCACATGCGGCAATGAGGTTATTCTACTTTTGTGCAGCACTCTGTCCTCCAGCACTTTACAAAGCATCTGCCAAAATGCAGCCACCTCTGGGGTGGAGGGTAGCAAACAGCTGGCATGCAGCACGTTGCACCACAGCAAGGAAAGGGGCCACGAAATTGGGCCACACGTGCCCTACTGTCAAAAAGATCAGGAAACCTTTGTCATCCAGACAGACCGGGAAGGATTATAAACAGCCATCTGGAAGTGCCCCTGTCCCCACCATAAGCCACATGGAATATTTCTACCTCCTGCAGCAGGATGCAGGGGTCCTTATGGCTGCAAGGAACTTGGGTGCCTCAGACCAGAAGCAACGGACAGGGCAATGCAGAGCCATCTTGAGAGAGCTTTGAACCCCTTTCAGTCACTCAGATGCGCTGGGATTTTAGGGCTGCCAAGAAGGATCAGCCCCACCCCCAGCTGGGCGTCTGAGTCAGAGAAATGGCTTGTCAAGGCAGGTAGCACTCAGCGGGGGGTTCTGGGGAAGCACACAACCCGCTGGGACCCACATGTGGCTCCAGACCCCGTAGACCTTATTGGTGCTTTGTTGTGGCTGTCCGTGCCAGTTCACACAAAGCCTCCCCTCGTCCCGGCTCAGATCCGCCACTCCCTTACCCTGGGGTACGGCAACCCGCTGGTGGTGTTGAACGCGGGCAAGAGACGGTACCCTAAATCCCGGGCCAGGTGCAGGAGCTCGTCCTTGTACCACTGCAGCCGCATGCCTTGTGCCTTCAACATGTCGGCCATGATGTGACCCCCCAGCAGGCCCCTGCAGGACAGAGAGGGGGAGCAGGGTCAGGCTGCTCAGAGGGACCCTGCAAGTTGAGATCCCAGAGGGCTCATTTCAGGAGCTCGGCGCCCACTTTCCTCTGCTGGGATGAGCAGATGCTAGGCCAGCTGGGCCCCTCTGCACCCGCCCCCCAAGGCCCACTGGTGAGCCAGGGGCCCAGGGCCTGTGGTGATGTCCCCGCTCTCCATCCCCATTGAACCCAGTGTTCATACACAGCAAGCAGCCTTCCCCTCTCCCCCAGGGCCACTTCTGCGCCCTCAGACGCCACCCAGAGCCACTGCACCGAAGAGCCACACCGCAAAGCATGTGACAGAGCCCACGGGTGGGCAGCATGTGCCTGGGCACTGAGCTGAAGGGGACAGATGGGGGGGCACAGCCTTGGGAACTGGCACTGACTCTGTGCTCTAAAGGGCTGCGCGGAAGGGGCCCTGCCCCGGCCTGGAGCTCACCCCAGCACACGAATGTTGGTTTCAAAGACAGAGACCACCACGTCGTTGTCCAGCCGCACGTCCAGGACCACCTTCCGCACAGCGTCCTCAAACTCATCCAGCTTGTTAAGGACCTGGGCGGCCAGAGCCACGGGAGAGAAGAGATTCGGGTCAGCGACGTGGGGCGCGCCCCACTGCCCTTCACCTCCCCTTTCAAACACCTCTGACTTTCCTGGCTTTCAGGACCCTGCTCACAGCCCCCGTCTGGCTACCCAGTTCTCTCCTCTCTGCACTCTGGTTCCCCCTCCCTCCATGGCACCTCATTCCTTTCTCCCACAAGGGTGCCTGGCATATCTGCCCTGAGACTGTCCACTACACACCCTCCTCCGCCAAATCCCCCTCCACACCCACCTTCCCCTCAGCCCCTCGAAAAAACAATCCAACTGTTCCCCCTCAGCTAGAGCAAACCCCTCCTTTGGCTGTATGTTGTCTGGTCTTGTGAGGTGTGTACAGCCCCCACCACACTGCTGGGTACTAAACAAATGATAGTCACACCAGCAATTCACTGACTGCTCACATTCCAGCTCGGCGTCACCTACTCAGACACACCGTTTCAGGGACAGCTGATCTAGCTATTTTCGGTACTTCCGTACACCGCCCCCGCCCCAGTATCCACCTCCTGGACCCCTGAGAGGCAGGGCAGTGCTGTTTGGGGAAATGAGGCACAGAAAGGCTTGTCCAAGCTCACACAGGCAGTGTGTGGAGGAGCAGAGAATTGAACCCACGTCTGCCAAGTCCCACGTTTGCACCCTAACCACTAGGCCATCCTCCCCCTCAGATGTGCTTTCTGGCTCACTATCTCAATGTGGGCACCTCAGGTCAACATTGCAAGTGGGTAGCAGGAGCAGGGCCTACACAAGTGTATGTGTTATTTTGTTTTGTTTTTTTAAAAAAGCCTCATATCCCGGATGCAAGTGATCACATCGGAATCTCAGCTTCATTTAGAGAAGAGTTTCGAGCCCTCAGGGAGAACAGCTTCAAACCATGGCCTGAGTGCATACTACAGGTTTAAAACCCAGAAGGCAAAGAATAAGAACCCACATTTTATACTAGAGTGCTTTTTAAAATCTCATGATTTCCTGGGACCTGACTCATGATTTTCAAATGCTCGGGGCGGGCAATACCAGTGGGTGCAGGGGGTGGAGGGGCAGCACAGCCAGAAGGACATCGTGGGCTCTGGAAAAGCATGGCCAAGAAGGGAGGATGATTGCAAGCTCTTTGGGACAGACACTGTATTTCTGGTCTCTGTTTGTACAGCACTTAGCGCAGTGGGGCTCTGATCCATGCCTGAGGCAACTAGGACCTACCGCAATACAAACCACACACACACACACACACGCATACACACACACAAATAAGAATAGATTAAGGCAGCTAAATAAACCCAGGATCATAGAATAGACAACAGGATAAGGAAACAAACAGGACATAATGAAGGGACAAAGAAGTCGAAGACAGAAGCAGAGAAAGGAAAGCATGCCCTGAATTGATCGCTACTGCATCAATCAACAGAGAATCTAGGCCCCAGAAGGGGCTCTGGGAGAGAAAATTAACTGAACACGGGAACATGTTTTGAATGAATAGGCATTAATTTTTCTGTTTGTCACTAGGGGGAAGAATGCAAAGAGTAAGATTCATTAACAGAGAAGGAAAAGAAGAGGATACTAGAAACTAACAAATTACAGAGACGTGGGGGGAGGGGAAAATCAGGGAATCTAGGTTGTAGCATCTAGAAGTCTCAGCGGAGATCAGGGCCCCATCATGCAAGGCACCAGACATATTAAGAGACAGTCCCTGTCCCAAAGAGCATAACACATGTCCAGGAAGGTCATTTTTCATTTTGATTATATTCTCTTTTGTAAGCAAGAAGCACTCATGCTAAAATGAGAGGTTTCCTGGCTTTAACCGCATTGCTTTCAAACGCAGACAGACTGTCTGCTTTTATCTCCATGCAATACATAAAGCACAAGCACTAAACCTTGCACACAAAACAATACAACACTACTGTTTATCCCCATTGGGCAGTGGTGGAAGCTAGGGTCAAGTGACTTGTCCAAGGTTAGACAGTCAGTAGCAAAACTGGGAAGAGAACCCAGGAGTTCTAGACAGACCTGCATGAAGGTTTGCTGACCCTGTGGTTCTGGGTTTCATTACAATCCTGAAGTTTGGGGCAGGTTTGGCCCCAGAGATCCATAGTCTTTCGGCAAGCCTAAGCCAAGATCTGGTCTGAGAAGAAACCCAAGCATAGCTTGGGAGGGGGTTCAGCTGAGTTTCACCTGCAATGGCTGGGTTTGTTTAGCACTCAGATGAGCTATGCCTGGGGTGGAGGGAGGACATGTGGGCTGGGAGTAGAGAGAAAAATCAAAAGTTTGCATGAACTCCCATGGGCCAAATCTGTCTTGTGCACTAACACTTGACAATGCTCCAGCCACTAGACAATACTTCCTCCTGCGTCCTATTGAAAACAAGTCCCCCTCACTCTAACCACCACTGAAGATGCCCCAAGTAACTCCTGATCCTACGTATACTTTAATTGTACTTGTCCATCAAGAATGTGAGAGAAGCCCTACAGCTTTAAGGTCGATTCTTAGCTCATTTGAAAAGAAGCAAAAACAGCAGAGGGGAACGTACAGTCCAATACACAAGAATGAAATGGAAACCCCTCTGTGCCAGGAACTCAATCTTGCTGGTGACAGATACCAACGCCTGTAAATGCAGACACCACTAAAATCCAACTCAACAGATCTAGACCTGCCAACCCCCCGATAAACTGGTCTGAGAAGCAGATTGCTGACTTACCACAAGCGTATCCAAAGTGTCAATTAGAGTGAGGGAAAACCTACAGTTTTAAAAGAAAAGAACACATTTTAAATTCAGATGAAATTCGATCTTAGAAAGTGAATTGGACCAAACAGTTAGCTGAAAACACGCCAAGGGGCAGATTTTCTGAGCTTGGCACTTGCATGAATAATGGCACAAACTGTACAAGTGTTTTTTTTTTTGCAATTGATGTAACTGTGCACACAAATGGACACACAACCATCTGTGCATGCCACTGCAGGGGCAAAAGAAATCTTTGCACTTGCAAATTAGATGTATAAATATTCATTTACAGAGAGGCCTGAAAATCTGACCCATGATATTCTAGCTAGAGTAGGTCAACATTTTTACTCAACTTTTATTTTTTCCCTTTGGATTGAAATGCTGTGGGGTTTTTTTTGTTTTTTGTTTTCGTTTCTCCATTCAAAACACAAATTTCTGCAATAAGTATCCATTTTCAACAACTTTTTTCAGGTTTTCACTGAAAAACCAAACGTTTCAGCCAAACCTGAAATATTTTTGATTGCTGAAGATTTGTATTTTTGCTTTTTTGTTATTGGTTTTTTTTTTGATGAACAATATTGTGCAGAAAAAAAACTCAGAATTTTTTGCAAGAACAAAAACCGTTTCCTGACCAGCTTTCATTCTATCCCTCCTTGATCATGAGGGGAAAAAAATGCACTTTAATTGCTGAGACTGACATTACAAATAGCACCTCCACTTCCCCCTCTTAAGGATCCTTCCAGCAGAAGATCTGAAAGTACTTCTCAAACATTAATGAATTCAGTCTCAAAGCTCCCATGAGGAATAAATATCACCATCATTTTACATGTAGGGAAACTGAGGCAGTGCTGTGACGTGATTAGCTCTTGGTGACACATCACAGTGAGCCCAAGTGTCTGAGCTGGGAATAGAAGCCCAGATTCCCAGTTTGCTGTCCTAACCACTGGTCTACTTCGTAACACACAACCAGAAAAGCCACAAAACCCCCTCACAGTAGCAAAGGAATCAGAGGGCGCTTGTGGCCAACAAGTGCTCCGCAGGCTGAAGTGCGAAAGGAGGAAGAGGAGGAACCCATCTTGCACACTCACTTGCCAAGGGCGTCATCGACATCCCCACGACTCGGCTCCATCCCGCGCACTCGGCCCCGACAACTCAAAGGCATTAGCTCGTCTGCAGGATATGCGTGTTTCTGTACAAGGGAGGGGAAATCCCACAAATGCTCAGTTGACGGTAGATCTAGGACTTGGAAACCGTCTCCAAAGACTGTCAAGTGGGCCGCTTTTGAAGGAAACTAGGCCCCTTGCCATTCCCGTTGCAGAAGAAATGCCTCTCGTCTTACGCTGCTTGTTCCTTGCTCTACAGTTACACACATGCCTTATCAACCTCGAGCCAGGACCCAGGAAGCAATGGAAACAGCTGTTTAGAGCTGTGCTGCATTCATCCAGCTCTTACACTAGGACGGCTAATACTCTGCCAATCTAAAGCACCTAGCCAAGGCTGCTGAGGGCTTTGCAAACATTCAGTGAAATCCTGGAGCTCCTACTGAGACAAAACTTTCAACATCAGTCGGATTTTGCCTAAGTTAGGAGCGAATGCAAACCAGGGGTGAGGATTTCGGTATTTGGCTCTTTAGTTATGGTTAGCCCCATTTTACAGAATGCGGAGTGACACACAGCTCACCAGTGGCAGAGCTAGGAATAGCATGCAGATCACCTAATTCATGCTGACTGCTACACCAGGCAATCTCCATAAGAACATGTAATATACATCTCCAAGCAATTCTCACAGTCAGGACAGCTACCTTCAATTCTATGTCATTTAGGTGAGGGGACAGTCGGAATTCTGGACAAAATTAGCCTGGCCTCACCAGCCACAGAAGCTCACAGAGCGAGCAAGAGTTACGCTTTGTTCTGATGGACAGCCGCCTACTATCTGCTATCCCTACTCTACGGGCAAGAGATAAGATGAGGAAGGTTTCCCTGCTCCATTTGCAAGTCTCCTTGAGTCCGGTGGATTCCAGCCAGCACCTGAATGTTGTCCAACGCCTTTGCATGTAGGAATTTCTTTGGTGGAGCTTTAGACCAGGTCTACACCTAAAACATAGGTCAACCTAGTTATACATTCATAGATTCTAGGACTGGAAGGGACCTCGAGAGGTCATCAAGTCCAGTCCCCTGCCCTCATGGCAGGACCAAATACTGTCTAGACCATCCCAGATAGACATTTATCTAACCTACTCTTAAATATCTCCAGAGATGGAGATTCCACAACCTCCTTAGGCAATTTATTCCAGTGTTTAACCACCCTGACAGTTAGGAACTTTTTCCTAATGTCCAACCTAAACCTCCCTTGCTGCAGTTTAAGCCCATTGCTTCTTGTTCTATCCTTAGAGACTAAGGTGAACAAGTTTTCTCCCTCCTCCTCATGACACCCTTTTAGATACCTGAAAACTTCTATCGTGTCCCCTCTCAGTCTTCTCTTTTCCAAACTAAACAAACCCAATTCTTTCAGCCTTCCTTCATAGGTCATGTTCTCAAGACCTTTAATCATTCTTGTTGCTCTTCTCTGAACCCTCTCCAATTTCTCCACATCTTTCTTGAAATGCGGTGCCCAGAACTGGACACAATACTCCAGTTATGCCGCTCAGGGGTGTGAAAAGTCACACCCTGAGAGACATAAGTAAGCCAACCTAAGCCACAGCATAGACACTGCTAGGTTGGTCGATGGAAGAAGTCTTCTATCAACCTAGCTTCTGCCTCTTGGGGGGCTGGATTTACGACAGTGAGAGAGAAACCCTTCCATTGCTGTAGCAAGTGTCTATACTACTGCGCTGCAGTGATGCAGATGCAGCGCTTGTAACGTAGGCATACCCTTAGCGTCCATTTAAAGAACAGAAAGGGGGAGAGTTTCTCATAAAGAAGGCAGCTCTCTTTTTGCCAGGTGTGACCCTCTGAAGGTTAGAATGGAAACAGAAAAGACCCGTCGGTGTGTGGCCATGGTATGGTGCTTGGCAGATACAAGACCCGTCGGTGTGTGGCCATGGTATGGTGCCTGGCAGATACAAGCAGCTTTCCAGTCTCCTGTATATACCCGATACAAGAGCCCAGGAAATGGGACACTGGGTCTGGTCCTTCCTGCCATGCACATACCACTCCAAAGGAGGAGGGAAGGGTCTTTGCCCTCAAAACTCCTCCATACCATCCTAATGGAGACACAGCCCCTCCCAACTCTCCCCCGGGGTTGGAGCAGTTCAGCATCACTCCCCAGCTTGGCCCCAGCCTAGCCACAAGAGGAGAGTAACTTCAAGGGAGTTGGGGGGTGAGTGGTTGCCGCATCTGGGCTGCTTCCCCCATGTTTCCGTTTTAACGAGGGTATTTTTGGTCATACCGCGAGACTCTTGTATTTTTTTCTGCAGTTATAGAGCACCCCAAGCTACCTGACACGCTGGAGGGTGGGAAGGCTGCTGGGTAAGCAGGGTTAGAAGAACAGAGAAGACATAAGACTCAGGGTTTTGTCCAGAGACACGTGAGCAAGAACGAATATAAAAATACAAGTTACCATGTAGCTGCCGTACGCGTGGTCAAACATCTCCACGACCTGGTCCCTGGAAAGGAAACAGCAGAGAGACCATGGGAAGCTCGGCTAGCCCAGAACGGCTGACCATTGCCACTAGACTTGAGAACGCTGGGACTTCCGTTTCATTTGAAACGACAACGATCCAGCAACGATCGATGACCTGTATCTATTCTAGAGCCTTTTATTAAGTCAGTGTTGAATTACTGGTCCCGTTCCTTTTCAACTATCGTCATTAGGTTAAATTGTGTACTGAGCAGAGAAGGTGCCAGCTCTCCACAGGGGAGTCTAGACAGGGCAGACAATGGGGAGTCTAAACAGGGCAGACAATGGGGAGTCTAGACAGGGCAGACAATGCAGGCAATGCACAAGATGTTCCAGTGCTCCCTAGGGAGATTTTTTGGTTCACATGAACATATCCACGTTTTTAGCAACGGCACCCTACAAAGCTCATCTCTTACTCCTAGACAATGGGAAATTGTGTGTGGGGGGGGGAAGAGTTTTTAAGTTGTCTGTCTTCCTGGTGCTGAGTTATATTAAATTGTTCTGCTGCAGTCAGGCTCATTACGGATGTATTTTCAAGTTAGGTCAAGTGTTCCTGGAGTGCATAGCAATTGCGACTGTACGCTCTTTGGCTCAGGGGCTGTCTTTCATTATGGACGTAATTATGGACAGCGCCTTGCGTAACAGAACCCAACCCTTGACCGGCACCTCCCTGTGCTACCATGAGATGAAGTAATCCTGCTTCAAAAGGACGCTTGTATAACAAACACCAGCACCTCCCTCCTAGCCCCTACTTGCGTCCATACAATTGTCACCGGTGGGTGGTGGAAACCCAACTTTCCCACACACAACTTGTCTCACTGTACATCTGCCGTCAGGCTGGGGGTGGGGTCCGGCTGGACTTGTATTTGGGGCGGGCAGAGGAGGAGACCCAATGTGGGTCTCCAGGCACCAGGGGGCCCTCCTGGGGGGGGGTTCACCTGCCCCCCAAGCCCGGCAGCAGGAAACCCGGCGCCGGGGGTAAGCGGACCAGCCCCCGGCGAGCCCCGGGGGGGTGGGGGAGGTCTGGGGGAGCTGCGTGCTCCTCAGGAGGGGAGGGGGAGCCCCCCCCCGGGTACTGGCTGGAGGGGGGGGCAGACGGACAGACAGACACGGGGCTGCTCTCACCTGAGCTGGCTCTTCTCCGCCGCCCCCACGGCCGCCGCCCCCGCGGCGAGGGGCGCCCATAGCAGGGCCACCAGCACGCCCAGGGGGGGGGCCCGAGCGCGCCCCCGCCCCGCGCTAGCAGCATGAGCTGCGCGGTGCCCCGCGCCCGGCCCGCGGGCTAGTGACGGTGTAACGCCCCCCGCCCGGCCGGGACCGGCCCCCGCTGCCGGGGCCGCGGCTCCGCCATGGTGCCCGGCCCAGTCCCCCGCCCCCGGGCCCCCACCCCACGCAAGGCATTCTGGGACATGCAGTCCCGCTACCGCCCGCCCCTGCGCGGGGGCTGCTGGGAACTGTAGTTCCGAGGCCCCGCCCCGCAGGCTCCCAGGGTGCATGGCAAGCCCGGACTGTATGCAGATGACTTGTTAGCAGACTGACTGTATGCAGATTACAGCGGGGGGGGGCAAACAGGCTCGCGAGCTGCATGCGGAGCCCCCTCCCCCCACTCCCCCATTCTCTGCCTGCTAGACTGGGGGCGGGCGAGGGGCTTCTGCCCAGCAGGGATGGGGGCCCGGGGCTTCAGCCCCCCCGGAGACACCTGCCAGGGCTCTGCGCTTCAGCCCTGCTGGGACTCTAGCCCGACGGGGCGTCCCTGCAAGCCCTAAGCCCCCCCCCAAAGCCCCTCCCCACAGGGCTGAAACCCCCCGACCCAGCCAGCACGCCCTGGGAGCTGAAGGCCCAAGCCCCGACAGGCGCGTCCTGCTCTCCAACTTCTGAAGATCGTATCAGTCATTTTGACCACCCCTGGCACGTTCTTACAGGCACCTCCATTTCCTGCGTTGCCTCTGTCCACTGTGATTGCATCACTGCAAGGTCTAGGAAGGCGGTCTCTAAACCACAATGCACAACTGCTCCTTCTCTTTGCAGTGCCAGCTTCAGCCACAGGAGATCAGGCCAAAGGCTATTTTGGGGGGATGGGGAGGGTTCTCAAAGAGAGAACGCCAGCCCCTAAAATCCCACAGTCCCAGATGCTAACGCCAGCCAGGTTACCCTGCCCTCCTCTGACTTGTCAGTTTTGTCATCTGTAAAATGGGGATGGGACTAGGGAGTTCTTTTGTAAAGCGCTGTGCGATCAATAGATGAACAGGATAACAGCGAGGTATTAATTTCCCCCTTCAAATAGAAAAAAAAAGATGTCAGTAAATTGCAACAGCTCCAAGGGGGATTCAAACCAAGTCTAGTCAGATTAATTAGATCTGTCATTAAAATAATTTTAAACTGCTGCTATAACGCAGAAGGGGCTGAGAAAAGGATTCTCCCCCCCCCCCATACAAAAATCTCCCATGAGTCCTTCCCCCGTATGATGCACTACAACTCCCACAATTCTGTGCAAGCCCTGTGATTTGTATCTAGCTTGCAAGTGACCTATATTGAAACATACACCCCACCGCAAAGTATTGAGTTTCCAGAGGAGGAGCAGCTATCACACTTCGGGGTCACTTTACACATTCCCTTTCTTTCTGGCTGTGTTGCACTGCACAGGAGAAATAAAGAAGCCAAGATGATGCAAGTAAGTACATTTCAGATTTGCTGGCTGATGGGGTTAGAAATCTGCCGGGACTGTAAACTACAGGTTGGAGTCAGATGATACATACAAGCCGGGCTTGCCTTCCAATACAAACGATACATTGGTGGGACTGAAGTAACAATCCGATTGTAAGTGATTGACAGTGGAAAGGGTTATGTTTTGCCCAGAGAAGGCTCTGCTCGTTTATTCGGGGGCAGGGGAGCGTGATGTTGACACAGTAACTTTATTAGGGACAGCACGAGGCAGTATAACTGCTTCAGGACTGGAAGGAAATGTTTCCCCTCCGCCCCCATCTGGCAGTTAAGCTTTCTGATTGGAATAGGGTGACCAGACAGCAAATGTGAAAAATCAGGACGGGGGTGGGGGGTAATAGGAGCCTATATAAGAAAAAGACCCAAAAATCGGGACTGTCCCTATAAAATTGGGACATCTGGTCACCCTAGATTGGAAAAATGGCCCATCTCAGCCCAACTGAACATATAATATTGTCATTGTGTGGAGGGCCACTTTAAGGTCAAAATCATCTTCTCACTCCTACCCCTTCCCCTGCAGCAGCTCTAGTGCTTGGTTACAAGAAGTAACTACATTAGGACAGTGCAAAGGGTGGGGTACTTGGTAACTTCTACCCCCCACCAGCCCCGTTTTGTATCAGTGCAGTTTATTATCTCTGCTTGGGTCTATGACTTTCTGAGCACGCAGCCCTTAGCACTGGTGCTTGCAGCTCCCCCCTGCTCTATCCTCTCCCCATCAGTTTGCTTCTGTCCGCCACTGTGCTTCTGCTGCCCTTTCAGTTAGGGGTGCTCGGCAGATTTAACCAGGGTTGAATGTACCCCAAAGTAACCCTTGACCGTTTGAGAATCAGTGTCCTAGATAAAGGGGTAGGGTCCACTTTTTTTTTAGTTCAAGATATGTTGATATTTGGCCTTTTTTCCAAAGATCACGTTGATTTCTTCAACGTTATTTTTCCAATGAAAACTTTTTCCATTAACCATTTGTGGATTTCTCTCTCCTCCTCCTCCCTGCCCCACCACAGCTGTTTTTTTCCATAGGTTGGCTTAGGGCAGGGCTGCCCTACAGAGTTCTGCCAACGCAGCTATGCCAGTCAGGGGTGCAAAGAAGTGTAATCCCTAACCAACATAGGTAAGCCGGGAAAAGCCCCTAGTGTAGATGCAACTATACCGACAGCTGTGCTCTTACTGGCGTAGATGGTTTTGCTCACGCGGGGTAGTTTTAGTGTAACAGAAATGTAGAAATGTAGGGCTGGAAAGGACCTCAAGAGACCATCTAGTCCAGCCTGCTGAACCCAGACAGGACCAGGTCTACCTAGACCATTCCTGACAGCTGTTTATTTAACCTGGTCTCAAAAATCTCCAGTGACCTCCAACCTTCCTTGGAAGTCTGTGTCAATGATTAACTATCCTTATAGGTGGAAAATTTTACTATACTGGTGCAGTATATCTGTGTCCAAGAAAGTACCCTGGTAGTCCTATACCAGTAAAGCACCGCTGGTGTACAGCATTTTAGCAAATCATCTCCTTTTGGGGTAAGGAAACAGTGACAGAATCACTGAAGTTGGAGATAAGGACCTAAGCTAAGGTCATTTTACTGGTTCAGGATTGTTCCCTGCAGTCTACCGCGTGTCTAATCTATTTAGGAATGAGTCTTATGATGAGGCTTCTGCTACTTCCCATGGGAAAATGCTGCCTTTCTGAGTCACTCCAGTTTATAGAATTTCTTCTTCTCAATTATTGCTACACGTTCGTGAGCAGTGTAATGACAGCCTGACTCCTGCCCCGATCCAGAGTCCATTGAAGTCAGTGTAAAGACTCTCGGTAACTCCAGTGGGGTTTGGATCAGGCCTCATGGGGCGACGTCTACACTACAAGTGCTACAGCAATACAGCTGCAGCTGTCACTATAGAATCATGGGACTGGAAGGGACCTTGAGAGGTCGTCTAGTCCAGTCCTCTGCACTCATGGCAGGACTAAGTATTATCTAGACCATCCCTGACAGGTGTTTGTCTAACCTGCTCTTAAAAATCCCCAATGATGGAGATTCCGCAACCTCCCTAGGCAATTTATTCCCGTGCTTAACCACCCTGACAGTTAGGAAGTTTTTCCTAATATCCAACCTAAACCGCCCTTGCTGCAATTTCAGCCCATTGCTTCTTGTCCTAGCCTCAGAGGTGAAGAAGAAGAATTTTTCTCCCTCTTCCTTGTAACAACCTTTTATGAACTTGAAAACTGTTATCATGTCCCCTCTCAGTCTTCTCTTTTCCAGACTAAACAAACCCAATTTTTTCAATCTTCCTTCATAGGTCATGTTTTCTAGACCTTTCATCATTTTTGTTGCTCTTCTCTGGACATTCTCCAATTTGTCCACATCTTTCCTGAAAAGTGGCGCCCAGAACTGGACACAATACCCCGGTTGAAGCCTAATTGGTGCGGAGTGGAAGAATTACTTCTCATGTCTTGCTTACAGCACTCCTGCTAATACATCCTAGAATGATGTTTGCGTTTTTTGCAACAGTGTTACACCGTTGACTCATATTTAGCGTGCGATCCACTATGACCCCCAGATCCTTTTCCGCAGTACTCCTTCTGATTGCTCCTTCCTAAATGGAGTACTTTGCATTTGTCCTTATTGAATTTCATCCTATTTACTTCAGCGTAGCATAGATGCTTCCTACAATGAGGGAAACGTTTTTTTCCCATCGATGTAGTTAATCCACCTCCTGACCAGGGGTAGCTACGTCAAGGAAAGAATTCTTCTGTTGCTCTAGCTGCATCTACACTGGGGGATAGGTCATTTTTCACAGCCCTGAGTGACAGAGCTAGATCGATCTAAGTACAGACCAGGCCTGGGTTGAGTTACTCCACAGGGTGCAACAGCAAACACAGTAATACTCCAAACAGCAATCTCTCAAATCCTTTGTGTAGTCACCAGCTATTTGTTTAACCCACAGGTGCAGGGTAACAAAAAGGAGTCAAGATTCTAGTATATGCATGCAAATTAGATAAGCAGTTATCATACATACACACACTGGATATTTCACTGGTACACCGCTACCTTGATATAACGGGGCCCGATATAACACGAATTCGGATAGAACGCGGTAAAGCAGCACTCCGGGGGGGCGGGGTTGTGCACTCCAGTGGATCAAAGCAAGTTCAATATCATGCAGTTTCACCTATAACACAGTAAGATTTTTTGGCTCCCGAGGACAGCGTTATATCGAGGTAGAGGTGTATATTTAATGTCTGCTGCTTGGAGGGCTGTTCTGAATGCTACAATTCAACGTTATCGCTAAAAAATGTAGTGAATTAAAATTTAACTTTGGTTAATTGGATCATCAGATGTATTCGCTTCTTAAGGAGTGATTCGACTGTCAGATAATTTAATTCATAGAATCACCTAAGAGTCGAGCCAATACACAATTGTGATCAGATACAGATATTTAAAAAGCAGAAATGAAAACAAGCCCCGTAAATTCAGATCCCAAATCAAGTCTGAACTTTCCCCAGATGTCAATAGGGATTTGGATCCAGAGTTCTGGTCTCAGACTTCTCTCTTGTGAAATGAGATACCATAGTCTAATGGGAGTTAGGCACCTAAATATCTTTGAAGAGCTGGGCCAGCATGCTCAGTGCCTCACCCCCAGTAACTAGTGAGGCTTTTGGGCTTTAGGATTACCTCCATCTAGCTGAAATCTCACGCAGTCCTTAGCAGCAGTCTGGGGTAGCAGGTTATTAATCTAGCCCAATACCTCTCCTCCTATTACATTGTGTTACAATAAGTTTTAACAATTATATTTGCTCTTCTATAGCACTTTTCATCCATACGTCGCACAGTGCTTCCAAAAAAACCAACAGTATAGTTAGTCCCATTTTACAGATGGAGAAATCGAGGCACAGAGCAATGACATGACTTGCCCAAGATCACTCTGGTGGTCAGTGTTTAAAGCAAGGTTAGGACCCAGGTCTCCTGACTCCCAGTCAAGTGCCCTATCCACCGGGGCACGCTCCCTCACTGTTTTGAAATAGGACCAATGAGCTAAACACAATTTGCTCCAAATCCTGTTTAACAACCTGACAGCCACATGAACATTTTGTTTTTAAATAGCAATATTAATATCTTAATCATTATAAAGTTCTTTGGGATCCTCAGGTGAAAGGTGCCATGTAAATGCAAAGTATTATTATTTAAAAGCTACAACACATTGACCATAAAACCCCCTCCAATATCACATGTCCATTTCCCCTGAGAGAATTGCAACACTGGAAAATCTGTCTCTCTAGTTCCTTTTTTGCCATGTGATTTGGCTCAGGATTTTGGTTACAATTAAGGAGATGGCTTGTAAACAGAACTGACTTCCATAGCAGTGAGTGGAACACACTTGTGTGGGTGTGAGGTGTGGGAAAGTCAGGCAACCAAACCCTGCTGTCTGGATCGTTCAGAGGTGAGTCAGTCTGTTGTCACAGTTCAGCTTTGGAATCTTGGGTGCAACCCCTCGGTCTGGTCTAGAGTAGAAAACGTGAACTGTGGAACTAAGGTGACTTCTTTTTAAATCGTTTCAATTGGGTTAAACCTTGCTTAAATTAGTGAGGCTAAACCGATTTGTGTGTGTCTGCATTAGACTGGTGTAAATAAATTGATTTAGCTGCACAGGTGCAACTTTACCATAGGCCTGGTCTACACACTACAGGCTTGTCTTACAGTTCAAGTGTTGCCCCTAATTTGAGACCTTCCTGTCCACACACACAAATGTTTAATTCAAGTTAGCCAGCCTGTCATGGGGTATAGGCTAAGGCTCAAGTCAGCACAACTTATCAGCTGCTAACATGACCACTCTGTAGTGTGGTCTCCACTCAACTGCCTCTGGACAGTCCTCCAACGCCTCCCCATAATTCCCCACCACGGGCCCAGAAAGGACAGACAAGTTCTGCTACAAATCGCCTGGAAAGCTGGGCTCAGCTGACTGC